ATAAAATTGCATCAATAATAAGTAAGAAATAAGATTTTAAGAAAATATGAAAGATGATACCATAAATAATTTAAAAAGACATGAATGTGAATAATACGAAAAATATTAATTAAATCCATGCAGATATGGGAATTCTAAATTAATCCTTGTGCAATCTCATTGTGATATGACGTCAAAAAACTCTCCCACTGCTGCAACACACAAAGTGACCTTTTCTACATCGTAATGCAGACTCTTTTCTTAATTGGAGGACATTTAATGTGCTTATATGTAAAGAGCAAAGGGAAAATTTCATTCAGAGAAATTCAGAGAAAAGACGGAAATTTATGATATTTTAATGAGTCAATTCAACTTGTTACAAAAGTTTTGTTGCTTTATTTACCCATCCTTATGCTGAAATGCAAAATGAGGTTTACATTGAATGAATTGTCAATAATTAGGCATACATTTGTCACTTGCAATTGATCTCAGAATTAATTTGGATACAGAGATATCAAAATGGATGTCATTACCCTGTCACAGGGACAACCCGAGAATAGATTTTTTACAATGAATTCTTATGAATAATGCAAAAGTGTTTCCTGTTGTTAATCAATTTTTGCATTTTACAAATGGATTAATTTTTTCCCATTCCCAACTCTTCCAGGAAGAATAGATTATAGAAAAGAATATTTCATTTTACACCCACCTTAAATAAATCAGTTTCAATTGCCATCAACACTTTCTATACACTTGGGTTTTAAAGCAGTGCATATCGTTGATATTTGCTGAATGACTTTGGCTATGCCAACGATATGACTCAGTTGAAGGGATTATTGAAACAAAATTCTGGTCCAAAATTAGTTGATTTCAATAACAGCAGAAAAACCAGAGATAAAGATAGAAACAAACAGAGAAAAGGAGAACAACGTTTAAAAGTCTCCTAAATTTTCAATGATATAGAGATAATTTTTCTTTGAGGGCAAATTGGCAACTCAGTTATGGGTTTGTGATGTTCCCTCACTTTTATTAACCAATTACTTAGTATATTTGTATATGATAAATTTCCCATTATTTGCTGTAATATGATATCTCCGTACATATATACCCAAGCTGGATTGATGCTGATTTGTTTTGCATATATGCACAAATGAAGATAGTAATTCAGGATTTAACATTCCTCTATAAACTCTATTTTTATTACAATAAAAAATAAAAAATATAACTGTTTTGTATTACTCCACTTAAATTTTGTTTACTCTCGAAATACATTACTTTTTACTTTAAAAGAGTGAAATTCCTTTTAATTTTCACTACTGATTCATTCAAAGATATTTATCCTGATGATGCTGTAAGCTACTCATGGAACTAATGTTATTGTCACAGAACATCTTTCCTCTGTTGAATGAACTTTAAACCCCTTCCTTCCACACTCTTAGTCATCTCATGTGACATATCGTTACTGAAGATTTCCAGAAAATGTGTGGTTAGGATCTAGAGGTCTATTTAAAGCACATTCTATTTAGTAATAATCATGCTGTTTATAGTGTTTGGGTGATCAGGGTGGATCAATTATAATTGGATTAAATGTACATTGACCCAGCTTTCCAGATCCACAGGTAATCCTCAGTTACGTGACATCGTTGTCTGAGATTTGTCTGAGGCAGCAAGTATACTTTCAGAAAGGTTGTTTACAAGTGAGTTCTTTTTTCTCTGAATTATTCCAGACATTTTTATAGGCCATTCAGATTAATGAGGCAGAACTAAGGAGTATAATAATTACAATTTCAACATTTTTAAAGGGATATTTAATGGGGAAGGTGGGGGGGGGGGTAAGAAAGTGTATGTGATCGGCACTGTGAGCCTACATCATGTACATGGAGTTTCTTCTTCATTTATTTGACTGTCTCCCATTCACTACTAATATGTTTAAAATAATGACCGTCTGAATTGTTATTACTGTAATAGCCCTCCATACCAATATCTGTAATGGATTTACAGTTAAAATGTTGGTCTTCACGTTCATACGGGCACACAAAGTGCTTTTTCTCCTCTCCCTGGGGAATTTTGCTATCATGTTTTTCATGTGAGGGAATGGTTTTAGATATTGAATTCTAATCACAAGCCTTTAAAGCATCCTTTAGGGTTCCAATTTCTCCCCTTGGAATGGAATGAAAATGTAGATTAATGTCTTGTCAAAAGATGTACTGCCAGAGCCCCTTTGTAGAACAAAGGTAGTCATAGGTTACGGAAGAGTAGTAGATCACTAATGAGGCTATACAGTATTAAAAGTAACGCCTGGCTGGAATGCTTCCCAGGGAGTGGAGATTGTGCACCCAATGTGTGCGGGCAAGCACTGAATCCAATGACCGGGGTAATAGTACATTTGTAAAGCACTTAGAGACATTTGTATTAAGCGCTATATAAAAGCTAAATATTATTATTATTATTATTATTATTATTATTATTATTATTATTATTAAAAGAAAAATAAATGAAAAGTATAGACCTACAGCTTGGGACAGATAGGAGGTGAATCCGATGTGTTGATATTTAAGATAATGCTTCACATTAGTGCTATTAGTTGAAATTTGTTAGAGGAGAACTCAAGGAATTGTGAGAATTTATGTTTTAAGTGAGAAGTTCAAGACATCTGAAAAAAGAGGAGTAGATCTTTCAGCCACCGATCAGTGTAATCAGTGAAAAAAGAAAAAAAGAAAAATAAGAACAAAACTTAAATATTTGAACTAATCCTTTGTCCAAAATATTGTTATGTTTGCTTCTATAAAATGATGAGTCTTTCGTGGAATCATGATATCTTCTTGCTCAAAGTGTACTTTCTTTACATCTTATATTTCAGACACTGCTTAAAAGCTTATATCATGATATAAAAGTCTCCCTTGTATTTAGAAAGTGACCATCAATCGTTCCTCAGGATCACCCTTTTGTTTTCTATGTCCCAAAACCCCTCTTTCTTCTGAAGGAAACAATGTACGCTGAATGTAATGCTTCTACCTCTGAAATAGTACTGGGTGTTTTTCACATTGTCCTTTATGAAAATTGGTTCAACTGAGCCGGAAAATCATGAGGCATAATGTATTCAATTATTGCCAATTTGGTAATCGCCGAGGCTTGACTTAACTGATGTTGAGCTTGGGGCAGGCATGAGAAGGCGTGCAGTTTTGATGCGAGTTTGGGAAGAGGCTGGCTGAATGGAAGTGAACGGGAGGGAATCAATGGTGATCAATATTCGTGTAGAGCTTGGTAAAGTGCCCAGCGAGCAAGGGGCAGAGTACTTTGAGAGCCGGTTGACTGTGAGATTTATGGAGCCTCGTCTGGAGATGGTTTAAGAGGCCGATGAAAACTTAATGCTTTCCACGCCCAATGATTGACCAGAATGTCATATGATTGTAACCATGTTTTCCATCTATCTGGAATGATGTTTTTACTTGCCTTATTTTTCTCCTTTCTTACAGGAAGGGACGATTTTAAATAAAAATATTTCAAACAAACGAGAGTGTTTTTTTGTGTTTACAATGATGATGTCATAGGTCATGTACTTCAGTGTGATGGTATGGCAAACTTGAAGAACATACAACTCTCAAAACTTATAACAAATTGAAATCAACTTCTTAATTTCAACTGCAGTTCTTATAATTTTTGTTAGCAATGATCTGTGTATATTATCTGTCCCTCCAACTTTTTCTTTATCTCTATATTTCTCTCTCTCTCTCTCTCACTCCTCTCTCTTTCTCCCATCTTCTCTTATCCTCTCTCTCCAGATGTAAAATAGATGTGGTACCTCCCTCAACACGTAGATCTTTTATTTATTTAATCATTTTCTGCCATACATTGGCAGTATTACTGATACTTGTCCCAATCTTTTCTCTCTCTCTCTCTCTCTCTCTCTCTCTCTCTATCTAGTCTCTCTCTCTCTCTCTCTCTCTCTTTCTTTCTCTTTTTTTCTCTTTCTCTCTCTCTCTCTTTCTCTCTCACTATCCAACTCCAATGAGCTCATTCACCATTTCATTAGCCACAATCATCATTTTAGATACAAAAATAGCCCTTGGATCATTGTTCATTATTAGGATAACAAAAATAATACTCTTGCTTAAGTTTTTTGCCAGGGGCAACCCCCACCCACCTCAAAACAAACAGCTTAAAAGAAACCAAAGTTAAAGCTCATGATTTAATTAGATGAAACCTATTCTCCTACAATTCCAATCAATGTTTGTTTGTTTTTGTTCAGTGAGTGCAAGTGCGTCATGTGTGTTCGTGAAAGGCATGCCCGCACGACTGGCTTCATTATTATCCAGCTATAAAAGGCAATTGTATTGTGAGATTCCTTTATTACATGTAGATTGTTAATTAACACTCTGAAAAGGGACTGAAAAGTGTCGGCCTCTTTCTCTCCATATGATTTGTTTTTTTCTCTGTGCAGTCAAATGTTAGAGGCACCAGAGTCATTATGCAGCAGTTTGCCAGGAAACAGAGCATTATTGTTTTCAATCATCCTCTTTTATTTTTCTCTATATACATCATGATTGTTTGATGACGGCATCAATTATGTCATAGCGTTTTTATTAACTAGTCTATAATGTATTTACATATACTCTTGGTCTATAAACAGTACATGTCATAATCTTACATATTAAAAAAAATGCAGAGTGTAAACAATGAGCACTATCTAAACTACTTGTTAAAAGAGATTTTTTTTTTACTAATTTCAAGGATATTACTGGACCACGTTTTGCTATTGATAGCTCTGCCAGTTATCTAAATTTCCTTTTGAATTGGGAATATTATATTTGTATTTTTACAAGGTAAAATAAAAGCCCCCTATAGCTACACTAATGATTATTTTCATAACAAATTATAATAGTTTTGTTTGCCTATTTCAGATGTGGATCTATGTTCCCACAACTCCTGCAAGAAAAAAATAATTTCTTTCAGACAGTTTGTTAATCCTTTCATAACAAACTATTTTCTTTCTTTTTTCTTCTTTTTTTCTTCAACTTGCAGCTGTGGATCCATGTAGCCATAACCCCTGTCAGAATGGTGCAACCTGTGTGGACACTACCACATCAGCTAACAGATATCACTGCCATTGCCCTCCTATATTCCATGGAGACCAGTGTGAACAGAGTAAGTATACATCAGTATTATTGTAAAGAGAGTAAGTATACATCAGTATTAGTGTGAACAGAGTAAGTATACATCAGTATTGGTATGAACAGAGTAAGTATACATCAGTATTAGTGTGAACAGAGTAAGTATACATCAGTATTTATGTGAACAGAGTAAGTATACATCAGTATTAGTGTGAACAGAGTAAGTATACATCAGTATTAGTATGAACAGAGTAAGTATACATCAGTATTAGTGTGAACAGAGTAAGTATACATCAGTATTTATGTGAACAGAGTAAGTATACATCAGTATTAGTGTGAACAGAGTAAGTATACATCAGTATTAGTATGAACAGAGTAAGTATACATCAGTATTAGTGTGAACAGAGTAAGTATACATCAGTATTAGTGTGAACAAAGTAAGTATACATCAGTATTAGGGTGAACCATGGAGATATTCTTATATCTCCATGGGTGAACAGAGTAAGTATACATCAGTATTTGTGTGAACAGAGTAAGTATACATCAGTATTAGGGTGAACCATGGAGATATTCTTATATCTCCATGGGTGAACAGAGTATTAGTATACATAAGTTACCAGAGGAAACAGAGTAACTGTGTACACCAGCTACCAGATATCACTGCAATTGCATTCCACTATTTTATGTCAATCGAACAGGGTAAGTATTAAAGTGTGAACAGAGTAAGTTACCAGTGTGAACACTGTACATCAGCTACAAGATATTACTTTCATTGCCTTCCAGTATTCCATGGAGACCAGTATGAACAGAGTAATTATACATGATTTACCATTGGGAACACAAAACATATGTTACCAGATGTAACTTCTATTGTCCTCCTATATTCCATTGAGACCTGTATGAACATATTAAGTGTGCATCAGTTACAAAAAAAGTGCCATGAGATCATTTCGAATAGGATAATTAAAGATCAGTTATCTGTGTGAACAGAGTAAGTTACCAGTGTGAACACTATACATCAGCTATCAGATGTTACTTCTATTGCCCTCATATCCTCTTCAGGGACCAAGGTGAACAGAATATTATACTTGCCAAAAATAAATACCCTTCCCGTTTTTTAATTTTTGAGAGAAAGAGTAATGATTAATTTTGATCAGAGCTGCAAGTGTAAATTCATTGTAAAAGTATATGAGAATAATACACTTCTGGATCTCAACAGACATAATAAGAGATGGAGGAGAAGAAGGAGGAGGAGGAGGAGGAGGAGGAAGAGGAAGAGAAAGAAGAAGAAGAAGAAGAAGAAGAAGAAGAAGAAGAAGAAGAAGAAGAAGAAAAAAAAGAGAGAGAGAGAGAGAGAGAGGGGGGGGGGGGAGGAGGGGGAGATGAAGATAAGGTGAGGAAGAACAGGAGAGAAAAGGATAAACAAAATGAAGAAGAAGAAGGAGAAGGACATGATAACATGAGGGAGAACAGAAGAGAAAAGGATGAACACAAGGAAGAAGAAGGAGGAGAAGGAGTAGGAGTAGGAGTAGAGAAGAAGAAGAAGAAGAAGAAGAAGAAGAAGAAGAAGAAGAAGAAGAAGAAGAGAAGAAAGGGATAAACGAAAGGAAGAAGAAGTAGGATTTAACATTTTAGTTTCAATTCAGTTGAATAAACAATTGTACCATTGGAATATGGCTTACTTGAATTCATTGAAACTTGTTTACATCATAATAGTTCTCAACTGCAAACACATTACTTCTGCAGTATTAATCCACCAGAAGCATTTAATGTTATAATTGTTTTAATAGGGAAAAGAATACAGCACATGGTAGGTATCATTTGAGTAAACCTTACTATTCTGCAAACACTTTTTCATGCAAATACCATCTTTAATGGGAGCATGGCTTTGTTTAAGTAGATCATCGGTCTATTTGCTTTAAAATCATTTCGTAACCCCATCAGAAGTTTGTAAAATTGATAAAACTCCCCCAGGTTTAGGGTGATTCATCAAATGATCAAATGATGAAAATCCACCTCCATACTTTCCAAATGCAGGATAAAAATCCACCAGAAATAGCATTTCTTTCTGAAAACAGTCCAGAAGCAAACAAGAAATTGATGTTCGTGGCATATTCCCGCAAGACAAATCAAGGATGGCAACAAAATCTCGCTTGTTTACAGACCGCATGTATCTTCAGATGATTATTTTTTAGGTATGATTGTTCAACGCTACCCTGCTAACAAGTCAGTTTATTCAGTGGTCGGCATCGTGACCGGGGGTAGTCACAAAGCCATACCCTGTATCTGCTCGATGACGTTCGGTTAAGTGAGACGTTAACCTGGTTTTGGAGAATGGAAACACACAAGATAAATTTGCTCGTGGGGGATGCGTGTTGAAAAATCAATACACAGGCTCCAGTGATGACATTTATATCTCGATAGAGAGATGCTTAATGAGTGTTTTCTAGTTTCAACCAGGGGATTATTATCATACTTAATATTATATATATTTCAGAAGATATCTTTCCAGAACAAAATATTTGAGAAAGTAGAGAGTCCAGATAGATTTTTAGGTGTTCCTTGTTTGTGTGTGTATGAACAGTTAATTTCATCTGATTTAACAGAAGATGGTAAAGCAATATTTTGTACACTGGTAGGACAACAGTTTTTACTTTACAAATGTAGATTTGGCATTTAGATATAACTGTCTTCTGACATGATCATCATCATCCCTCAGGGTTATTTAGATTATTATTATTTGATAAAAGATAGAGAACCAAAAGGACATTATCTGTTTAAAAGTCTATGTGTTAATGCCCTACAGACTCTAAGGAGCTAGTATTATGCCAAATGAGTGATAACAAAATTACCTGTGTTTTGAGTTATATATTTTTGCAAACAAGCATATTCAGGTAATTAAAAGATTTGCATCAACATTTTATTTCACAAATATCAGAAACATTGACGTGGAAAGGCTGTTTTAAAAACCTCCCCAAAATCGTAGTTTCTAAAAGAGATTGAAGAGTGCAAACAGGCAAGAAATTGATGAGAAATAGAATCTGTAAGAGCAAACACATACTGATATTGCAGGTTTCTTGCTCCAATGTGAAATTTGATTGAACTTTTCTAATCAATATTACAAGTATATATTTGTCCTACCAGCTCAAATGATAAGGCAATGACAAGCTAAAGATAATGGATGCAACATCATATTGAAAAAAAAGTGTATTAGAAATCATCAAAGGCTGTAATATTTTCAGTTTTTCAAGAAATATTTTTTTATTTTATGCAAAGCGGGGAGATTCCCGTCATCTCAAAGAATTTTCTTATGTGCTTTGTTTTTTAGCATATAAAATATGGAAATAGGATTCAGAGAGAGATTTCAATTTCTCGAAAAACTAGGATGAGTTACAAATTGTAAATCTTACTATTTCATAGACGTTAGTTATTCCCTACATGAGAATGAATGAAGAAGAAAAAAGATTGAAAGGGGTTCAGCTAAGTACATATTGGTATATTTCTGTCATAGTTAGTAGAAAGGCTTATAATGTCAGTTTCCCACTGAATACTTCTCATTCTTTCATGTAATACTTAATGATGCAAAGTACCTTCTAATGACAAATTTTGCATCGTATAATTATGCATAAACAATGGACCTCGTGTATGTCAATCATTAGCGATCAATTTATATGCTTTTTTAATCACGGAGAGAAGTTCTGCTTATCAAGTACCTGTCAAGAAAGGTCATTTATTTCACCCTGTTGCAGTAAGTCTCAATCAACTAACTCAAGCTTGCAATATCCGAGATAGCTCCGGTCTTATGGACTGTGCTATTACCTACCGTGGGAACAATGGTTAGGTTTTGATTAAACAAATTTGATCCTCTTCCAATACATCTGTGATGGTATCAATCATCGAAGCTCAAAGCACAGGTTTTTGCAGCATATTTGATGGATGCATAATTGAAATCGGTTTGATTTTCTGACCTAAAATATTTAGCAAGGAAGAGATGAAGTCAGCGGCATGGTGTTGACTCGGGCATTTCTCGGAGTAGTGAAAAGAGAGGGTGGAAATTCTGTTGATTTTGCATCTATTACAAACCTTTCTCGTTATTCTGAGGAGGAGAATAATGTTTGCTAGGGATAATTTAGTGGTTAGGGAAACTTCCAAATGGTGTGTTAGCTGTTTGAAGGTTACTTCATCAAAATCTCAATGTGAAACTTGTGAGGTAAAAGACTAAGCGTGAAAATGATAACTTATAACGCTGATCGTTTAGGGTTTGTGCATATTTCGAGAATCAGATTCTTGTCCATTTCCATATTGTACTTCATGAGATATCCATATCTGACATTTGTTCTGGTTAGTTTTGCTCACAGGGTATATAGGGTTAGAGTTGTGATTTGAGGCTAGATAAGGTTTAAGGTTAAGGTTAGGTATAGCATATGGTCTAGAATTGAAATCAGGAATTGGTAAAGTGTTAGAAATAGGTTATGGAGCAATCTTTGCTAGGACAAATGTCACGCAACCTCTAGAGCTCATGCTTCAGATTCATGATTGTGAGCATGTTTGTATGTAAACAAAGAATTATGTTGTGTCAAGCAGCATAATCAGAATCTGAATCTGATGAGATACGGCCGAGCACTCTTGTTGGAGTAAAGTGAGCAGAAATTTTATGTTGCAGACCCCCCCCCCCCCAAAAAAAAGAACAAAAAAAAGAAGAAGATTACATTGTTTCTGCTTGAAGAAAAAAAAAGTTCAAGAGTTTCCTGGGTCTAGATACCATCTATGGTAGATGTTAACCCTTTTGGTACCGCAGGTTGAATCGTCAGCCATAGAGACATACCTGTAACTTACATTAGGCATGGACTTTCGCTGTTTAAAAGGAAGAAATTTGGTGTTTCTTCTTATAGTTCTTTGTCTGTCTGTAGGATGTCTTGAAGTATAAGTGCAGGAGGGTGTGTTCGGCCGAGTGGCAGATAGACGTCTTGATTGTCTGTAATCCTCTTAACATGCCCCCTCACCTCTCCACAGGAAATGAGTTGCCTTGTTCAC